ATGAGGTAATTTTCACTCTATTTTTCAGTTTGGGATTGGTACATCTGAATGATGTGTAGCCAGTATGGATTAAGTTGGCTGACTTTTATCAAAAGGAGCAGGTCAGTTTGTGTTGGGTTTGCGTGGTTAACTCTGGGAAGTATTTTCTGGTAATTTTTTGAAAACTTCCCTGGTTTTATAATTTCCATACAATTCAAATAACAGACCAGTCTGAGTTGGGCTATTTTTAGAAGTAACCAAGCATGCCTCTTTTAAAGGCAAAACTCACTTTATGATGTAAGAAAAGTTGAGAGTAAAAGAGCAGCATAGTTACACTAATATGCCATTGTAGCATGTTCCCATCCTGTCATCTGGAAAATTAAATCAGGTTCCAGCATGGATTAACATCCAGACTTGTGAGGAGGGGAAGGTAGTGTCTTAAATGCCATGAAATTGAACAATGGGATTATACAGTTCACAGCTAATTTCAATATTCGGCTGGATTTGGCTTTTTGTTGGACAAGATTGTGCAGGGAGAGGCAGCACTAGCTTTTAGAACTTGGAAACATTCATGTTTTTAATGAAATACTGACAATAATAGTTTGAATGTGGTTGAGCAATCAATACAGTGCTCTGCATAATGCACCCAGAGTGGTGTGGAATCTCTGCTCCTGGAGGGAAAAGCTGAGTGTGTTGGCAGTGAGACCTGTGCTCACTCCTGTGGGCTCAGGGCTTTGTTTGGAGGGAACCTCTAAATGCCCGGCCAGGACTCAGGTGCTGCTGCAAAGCCTTGCTCTGCTGTCCCTGTCCAGAATAACCCCACGCTCAGTCGCCCGTTGGTCGTGTGAGAATTGATTCCATTGCTTCCCTGGGAAGCTCCTCTTGAAATCATTGCAAAGGAGCTGCTGCAGGAACAGCCACGGAATCCGTTCCATAGGTGGTTTTCCAAACAGCTCTCCCGGGGTCGGGGTGTCTGTGCTGAGGAACAAGGGCTGGGGCAGCTCCAGCTCTGTGGCCAACTGAGATCTCACGGCAGGAGCTGCTTTGTGTGGAGCTGTATCCTCTGGGAAGAGGCTTCCAGTGATGTGTGTCAGGTTGGGAAGTGAATCTCAGGACATTTGTGTGACATGCCATTGCTTTAAAAGCTTTTTTAAACCTGAGTGTGAGCAATAGGAATAAAATCAACATTTGTCTTGGTACCAGCAGTTTATGTTTAAGTTTGTGACAGATGTATTTCACTGCACTTACAGCCACGTAAGAATGGGAGATTCCAGGTGGGGTGGTGTATTTTAGCTTTATTTTGGAGTGTTATTGTTTGTATTCTTACTGCTTTACGCTTGTAACTTACAACTTCCAGTGCTGTATTTCAGCGTGTGATTAATATTAATAGATGGCTGTTTGTCAGCAGTTGCTTTAGGCACAAACTGTGTGGATCTTGTCATCTTTGTGAGCTGAAACTACCAACTCAGGTGTAATGAAAGATAAACAGGAGATACTAGGTTACCATGCCACAGGTTCAACCTGTGGCACAACCTGAGTTCTTGTTTTGGGGTTTGGGAGAAGTTTAGTTTGAGAAGCAGCTCCATAATTCCTGTGATTTTTCCTGTCTGAGGTTCACTTGCACTGTGTTTGGCCGTGGTTTGCAGGGTCTCCTGCCCTCCGCTGAGCTTTCAGAGCTCTGTAACCTTATCAGTGACTGCTCAGAGCTTTGCTGGAGTGGGGCGAGAGGCTGGGCAGCATTTCAGTCTGGCTCTTCCCTTGTTCTGGTGTCAGCAAATAGATTCCACTCTTCTGAACTTGAAAAAAGTATTTTACATGTGTTTACTTTGCATCATTTCACTCGAAAGCCTGTTAAGTACCTGGAATAACAGCGTTCCCTGTGTTTTGAGTTGCAAAGGGTTTTCTTGCTGTCTGGAGCTACAATGGAGCTGCATCTCACTGTTTGCATGTGCTGTGCAAAACAAATTACTGCGAGTTAAAGTGTTTGAAGTTCTCAAGTTACTTTAGTTTTACAGGCAGAGTTGACAGTTCTGTTCGTGTCTTTCCCAAGTATTTTCACACGGGTGCTGAAGCAGTTTTTCCTGATCCTAATGGTGCTGATTAAAGCTGAATCCTGAGTGCTTGGCTGGGCTACCCACCCGTATCCCTGATGGTCTGACCATTTTCCCCTGTTCAGAATGATTCAGATATCATATCCATCGGCATTATTGGATGCCCTGTGCTTGTCCTTTCAGGGCAGAGCCTGGCCATACTGAGTAATAGCAATGTTTGGTTTGTAGCTCTTTGTATTCCCTAAACTCAGGTGTCTCGAGGGCCACTATTTCAATGTATGTGTTTCTGTCAATCCTCTTGGTGCAGTGAGGGTGCTCCAGCGTCCTGGAACTTCATGTCATGCCCACATAGAACTGAAATGTAGTTTTACCATGTGTGTATGTGTAGGTCAGTGCAGTCGAGAGCACCTTTCTCATGCACACTGGGTTACCAGCGAAGAATGGGGGATGAAAGCTGTAGTAAGATATGATGAAGTTTCTTTTCCCCTTGTGTAGTGTTTTCCAAATAAAGATGCTGCAAGTTTAGTCAATATTCCCAGACCATTTAAAAGCCGAAGTGATGGAGCTGCCACAATGTTAAATAGAAAGTACTTGTGCAAACATGAGGTGAGGAGGCTGCCAGGCACATCTCGAAGGTGAGGCCCTTCCCTGCAGGGTTCTGGGTCAGCCACCCCGAGGCTGGACACAACCCATGTCCCTGTGTCACCGGGGCTGTGACACCCAGGGCAGTGCCCCCCGTGGCTGTGAGATGGTAAAGGCACTGGCAGGGATGTGTTTGCCCAGGGTACCCTGTACCTGCTGTGCTCACACGTGAATCCTGGAGCCTCACAAAGCTGCCCAGACCCCTCATCTCTGATGGGTCATCTGGGAAGGGGCTTTCAGGGCTCCCAGAAATGTGGTCAAGCAGGGTCCTGCAGCCTGTCCTTGTGCCTTGTGCCAGGGAGCTCCTGGAACACAGAAGAGCCTTCAAGATGCTGAGAAAACAGGGAAAATACATGTTTGCACACACACACAGAGTTACTTTGTGTGACTAATCTGTTTTGTTGGATCTTTCAAGAATGACAATGCGGCTTGCCATCTATGGAGGAATGTGTTTAGAGCAAACACACTGTGCATTTATGTCAAATTTAGTTCCTCATTTCTCTAAAACAGTGGTAAATGATAAAATATGTGTGTCAGTACATGTATATATATATTTATATTAAGTTTGAGAGCAATGGATCAGTAGAAGGGGGGGGAATGTTGGTATCACGTTCCAGACACCATTACGGGTTTCTTCAGCAATACAAATTTATTTCCTTGATTGAGTTGTTGTTTGGTCTCTTTTCCTGTGAAACCCTGAAATCTTACCCTTAAATAATTAGTTTAAAAATTATTTTAAAATATGCAACTTAATAGTTGCATAATTTCCTCTTACCACTGCTCCTCACTTCCTGTGCTAAGGTGGGAAGCTGAACTGTCTCTTCATTGCTAACTGTGTGTGGAGGGTGCTCATGGCAGCACAGCTGGGCACATCTGTCTGTGTGTTTGGACACTTCACTCACCTGTGTAGAGACTGAAGAATTTTCAGACTAAGGCTTTAAAAGGTGATCCCTTGCTTTGTTTCTGCTTTGCTGTGTTTGTGCAGAAGGGTTTGCTCACACGTGTATGTAAAGTGTGATGCACTGTACGTGTGACTGTCTGTGTGCCCTGGTGAAACGTTAACACTTAGCACCTGATTCTCTGGAAAACGTTCAGCTGGAAGGTTTGTAAAGGTCCAGGCTGTTGGATTTGTCCTGCAGAAGGAACACACCTCACAGGGAGTTGGCACCTGCTGGCAGCGGAACCAGCGACGGCCGAAGGGATCCCTCAGTGACCTGCCCTGAGAAGCCGGGACAGCAGGGGATGGTGCCACAGCCAGAGTCCCTCCCCTGCAGCTGAGCTGGGGGTGGCCTCGTGCAGTCCCTCTGGGGCTGTGTCACAGTGTCATGGAACGGGCAGGGCTGGGCAGAGTGTCCCCCACCCCGGGAGGGGGCTCTGGGGATAACCTTGGGTGTTCCACGTGCTTTACACTGTCTTGAACTCTTGCCTGAGTGTTTGGTTTGGTTTTTTGTAATTAAAAAAGGAATAATTGTGGAATGGAATGTGGCCTTCTCCTCTGTATCCCTTTGAAAAATGCGTGGCTTTGAAGAGGTCTGTTTTAAATAGGTTGTCGTATAAATAATTTCAATCATGATATTCTGTTGTTTTATGAACATCTCTAATTAAATTTAAGATAACTTCTCAGGGAATAGTACCATATTATTTATTCTGACAGCCAGAGGAATAAGGACGTTGCATCAGTCTGGAATGCTTGCTAATCTGAAGTGTTTCACACTTGTTTTCCTGATGAGAGAGGTTCCAGGGCTGCCTTAATTGCCTCTTTCAAATTCTGGATAAATATTTTTGTCTGCTGGGGAGCACACCTTAACATAAAGTAATTTTGAGAGATTTGTAATCTGGTATCACTGAAAACTATCTGTGGAGATAAACCCGTGCAGTGTCTGGGGCTGGCAGAACTGGTGTGATTTTAACCCAAATTCAGTACCCTGAGTAACCATTTCCTGGTGACAAGCCCAGCTGGCAAATCACAGCCAGAAAGATATTGCACAAGGTAACAGCCTGGAGTTCAGTCCAGCACCAGGGCTCCCCTTATAAAATAATGTATAGATAAATATATATATTTACATATATATGTGTGTATGTACACACAGACATTTTTGATTTCACGTGTTTTGTGTGTGTTTTATGCACAGTTTTTGTCTTTCTGGAGGAGGGTAAAGGGAGAGCCTTGAAAAGTCCTTCCCTGCTCTTATCAACACAGCAGCCTCAGCTGCCCTCCTTGGATCCCCTGCCAGGGTTGCTATCATCTTCTGATCAAATATTAATGTGTGATTCTCTGCTTGCTCACTAATCCAAAGCCAATTAATATTATCTGTCAATTATTTACAGATCCTGAGGTGCGGAGGCAATTCCCAGAGGGCTACAGTGACCAGGTTTGGAATGCGTAATTAATTTTTTACATGACAAAATTTATTTCAGGGTTGTTCAACATATTATTGCTGCTCTTTTTACTGAAAGAGATAAATGCATTCTTAGAAAGTAAAAGAAGCTGTAATTAGGAGCAGAAGGATACAAACATTTTTACACTGAAGGCAGCAAACGGAAGAATTGGGCTCTCGTAAGGCTGGTTTACAGCCCCGAGTTTACGAGGGAACATGAGAGCGGGCAGGAAAATTGATTAATAAATTTCCCTTTTTGCCTTTGGGTGCCAGAGCCGCAGTTCATTTGGCAGAGCTCTCGGCATTGTGTGAGGGTTTATGGCTGTGTTTAACTGGGCACCTGGCACTCCAGCGCATTTCTGAAATTCTTGCCTGCTCAGGCAGCCTCTGCTCCGCTCCGAGGGACGGTGTGACCCCAAATGTGTGGGTGGGACACACGGGGGTTCATCATTTAGTTGGAGCACAGGTTGGGTTAGAGATTTTTCACCAAATCTGTGGCTGACTCGGAAATGAGCAACTTCAGGTTACGTTGTGTTTTCCTGTGCTCTCCTGTGTCTCCTCAGGAGTGGACTGGGCCAGGGTCAGAGCCCGGGCAGGGGGATTATTCCTGGGGTGTCTTAAGGCCACTGGAGTTCCTGTGGGTGCTGGTGGTCAGCACTGGGGTGTCAGTGCCAGCTGAGCTCCTGCACCTCAGTTCCTGGGAAGTGCTGAACTTATGGCATTGTATAACTGTTTAATATAACAATAACTTCTGCCTCAACGAGTCCCTGCTATTGGGTGATAACAGGTTAGGGCCAGCACAGCTGTTTTGTCTCAGGTCCTTTCCCTCTAGTTATGTATTCATGCCACATGAAATTGTGTGTCATTTAGACTGAAGCATTTCACAAATTGTGAGCTGTGCTGGCTCACCAGGGCCAGGACAAATGTTTTCATGTTGGGCTATAATCACTCTGTGCAGGGGGACCTTGACCAGGCCTTCTGGGTGGGTTTGGAGTAGTAGCAGTAATATTTTTTCAAAGCATCTATTGAACTGCTTTTCACTGTAGTTCATTGTTAGGACTTCCTGTGCACTTGGGTACAGCATGGAACTAACCCTCGTGGAGGACTGCAGCCCCATTGCCGCTGTAGGTCTGTGATTTGTTAATAAACATGCCTGTGTTTGTGTTTACCTGAGGACTGACTTCTTTCCAGCACACTGTGCAGTTGGGTGTGAGCTAATGGTCCTTCAGAGCTGGGACAGTCACTCGTGTCCATGACCAAGGTGTTACAGGAGAGCCTTGTAATACAATTGACTTCATAAAATTCTTAACAGCCCCCTTTCTTCTGCTGCAAATGATTAGACTTGTATAATATTGCTATGAATATGCAAGACTGAATCAAACTCAGAGGAGCCACAGGCTCATAAAAATTCTTAAGATGTTCCCCCAGTCCCAGTCAGAGTTTCCGATGGCTGATGTCAGACCCCCCAAAACACACAGAGCTGTGTTTGTGTGGCTCTGGGGGTGGGTTCTTACATTGTCACGTATTTTGCACATGCAAACTTAGAGGGGAAGCAAAAGAGAGGAGGTTGAACTTCTCAGCCTCGAGTAGGTTTCAGAAACATTTTTCCTGTTGATGCACAGGAGTATTTTCTGGTCCTGGTAGCTGGACATTCTGAGACAGGAGAACTGTCTCAATCTGTCCAGAGCTGACAGATCTGGATTTGAAAAATCACCTGTGAACATTCAAGTAAACCAGAGAGGAAGAGCTTCATCCATGTTTTTACTGATGAATTTAGAGCTCTGAGAAATATATAGGTTGCAAATCAGCCCAGTTAGGTTTATTTCTTAAAGCTTCTGGTTTATTGTTTTTTTGGAAGAAAAAAATTGTCAGAGTGCCAAGTCACTGCAGCCCAAGATGCACAGTACAAACCCCTCGATTTCTCCCTGTGTTTCTGTATGCAAGGGAGAGAGATGATCTGCATGGTAGTGCAGGCAAAAGTTGTTTCTAGCAATCAAACATTTATGATTTAATCCAGAAGGAATATTTGAGTTAAATCAACACAAGGTAAAGCACTTATTAGTAAGAGGGAAAAAAAAAAAGGAAAAACACTTCAAGTTTTTTTTTATTCATCTAAACTCTCAGTGCTTGTTTTTACATACACTGTATTTCCCATGTACCAGCACATCTGATCAGAGACCCTCGCTGCTGCTAGATGTTTTATTCTGTGTGTTCTTTGTACCTTACAGTAAAAGAATCTGTCACAAATTATTGTGCCTCACTGCTTTAGAAACTGAGAAAAAAGGGAGGTTAGATTGACATCTGTGACTGAATAATGATGACCAGCCTTTTGGCTCCCCTTGAGCCACAAAGCCAGCATTGCCTTTAGAGAGGAAAAAGGAGTAAGAAGAAAGGGGAGGGATAAAAGAGAGTTACAAATCTGTGGTCCCGGAGATGTATTACTGTTGGGCCAGTTGTCTGCGTGGTATGATAATCCATTTTGATCTTCTGTCTTAATTGTCTGCTAAAGACAAATGGGCAGTAAAAGTTCATCAGTTTCATCTTTTGCTTCTCATTTAGAGACAGAATAAATGATCCATGGCTACAGAAGAAACCTTTCTTTCTGACACGGAAGTAATGCAGACCCAACACGTTTTATTAAAATATTTCTCCCTCATTATTTCAGTCCTCTCAGCTCTGATAGATCTTACTGTTTCATGAAAAATGTAATCTGAAATGTAAATAAGGGGTTTGATACAAAGTCAGGAAGTAATGAGCAGGCCAGCCACATTGCAGGAATTTTGATTGTAATTACTGACAAAGTGAATTCTGCGTGTCCTGATTTTTTTCCCTCAAGTTGTCTTTGACACGTTCAGACCACAATGACATCTACGGTTTAAATCTGTTAAATAACTGTATAAGGGAATATTTTATAGAAAATGTCATAGACAAGGTAACTGAGGAGCCTTACTAAGGGGAGAAAATGCTAATGATTGCTCCAGGCCACTTGAAATGGGTAAAACGGGGCTCCTTTGACTGGCAGGAGGGGGCTGGAGTAATCTTGAGATACATTTTTAAAATAAGAGTGTTTTAACTTCTTGGGCTGTTTTATAATGGCTTTCAAGAAAAAAATTTATGTGCATTTATGTGTTTGTGGTTGTACCTAGCATGAAATCAGTAATTGTTGGTATTATAAGCAACAGTTTTTCAGAACTGGCTTTTTAGCATGACATCCGTATTTAAACCAAATGAGGGCTTAGTTTTTCTTTATAAAATGCAGTCACTGTAGGGAGAAGTATCCTTTTAAAAAATAGAGAAATACTTCTGTATTTTCTGATTTGGGTTCCTGAAAAAACTTTATTAATTAAGTCAATTTTTTTAGGTGAGATCTTGTGCTACTGGAATATTGCAAACACCAAACCACGGCCAAGCTGCTTTACCCTTATCACCAGAATTTTGGCTGTCCACTGTTTGGAAGGTTAATGCCAAGATAACCAGCTCTCCTGGGCCAATTAATTTAAGTACAGGGAAGTTTGCAGCACAGATACAAACTTCTGTCAGAATCAATGTCACAGCAAGTACCTGTTGTGTAAATATATAAAAATAGAGAACAGTGAAGCAATCAGCGAGAGCTGTAGGAGGAATTGCACAATCTTGTCAAAGGCAGTATATTTTTGAATTTTTTTTTTGTTTTTTGAGTGGTGCATCATTTGGTCCCTGACTGTTTTAATCTTTATAGCTCATCTGGAAAGGAAATCAGAAGTGCTGTGGTGATGGTTCCCGTTTGTGAGCTGCTCTCAGTGGTATGATGGCTTGTCTGTAATTTGATGAACTATTGTATGCTCAGTTAATTACTCCAGGAATGACTGAGGTATGTGTGCTTGCAAGCTGGTACTTATGCAGATTGCTACTTCTATTCTGCTGGTAATTTTTCTTTCCACTGGCACTGAAACAGAGTTTATAACGAAACCAACAATCTTTATACATTTATAGATAAACTGTAAAACTTTTATGGCAGTCTTTATATAGAAACTAATGGTCTTTCTTGTACCAAGTCTATGAGCATTGTACAAACACTGCACACAGGGAAAAATAAAAAGCACTTTCTTTGTGTCATTGAGAGTTGTGTGATTGGAGAGGAGTTACACAAATGGAGCATAAACCCCCTGTCTTGAGAAGTCTGGGTGCTCTGAGGGGACTGACTTGCTTGAACAGGGATGATTATAATCCAGTTGGATATTTCTGAATTGCACACAGTATCCTGAGCATAAACTCCTTGCCTTACAGGCTGCACACACTGTGTGATAAATCCTGCCTTGAGAGCAGTTTAAAATAATGGCTGTCCTTTCAGGAGCAAGTGAACAAGTTGGGTTGGAAAGGCTGAGTAATTAGTGATTTAGAAAATCTAGAGAAGTGGTCCTGGTGTTGTGAAAGCCACTTTGTATTAACCCAAGGCAGTGTAAATAGTAAATGTCTGAAGCATTTGATCCTCAGGTGTGCAGTCTTTGCTGCTTGCAGGGTGTGCAGAGCCCCCACACTGCACTGGCACAGGGGGGCTTTGCCAGTGCCATCCAGATAAACCAGGATGGATGGGGCCACTGCCCTGTGCACTGACTGCTGTCACCAGCAGGGTGAACCAGCAGCAGGAACAGACACCTTTGGGTGCCCAGGGACAGGTGGGACGGGGCTGTGCCTCTGGAGCTTTCTGGAGGCAGTGGGTGGAGCCCATGAGGACAGAATGGTGGACAGCACCAAACCATGGGCTTTGACTACAGAGCTGAGGGTTTCCTGAACTCAGAGTGGTTTTTTTAGACCAGATGTATTTTCTTTAATGTAGGAAAGTAAAGAAAAATCCTCATTTATTCCTAATTTGCTCTTTCTTAAGCATCCTTGTCATATGGTGCAAGTTGTTTTTTCATTACCTTTTCTTTAGACCAAACAGGTGAGAGGTCAGTTTTTCTTATGTATTTCTATTTGTGCCTTTTCTACACCTCCCTAGTATAATTTAATTAGAA